TAATTATAAAAGATTTCAGGAATCAAAACACTCTCTAAAGCAAATAGTGGCAAGAGAAATTGTAAATTATTCATAAGAAATTGGAATCAGTGCTATTTCAAGTTTAAGTTTGAATCCATCGATTACCTTAAAAATGTGCAACTTATACAAAATTTCCAGTTGGATATCGTTAGTTGTATGAAAGTGTCAAAGGGCCACCATCGACATGGCACTTTCAACCCGGTTGACTTTTGTAAGAGAAACCATCGAGTTACCTTTGTAGTGCCACTAACACCGATGGTTCGTTTTGAAATTAAACAAAAATTAAAAGCAAGTATGAATCAATCGAAGGAATCAAAATCATGGAGTCGAGTCACTAAAAGGAACGAATTGGACCAGCTCCTTTATGCGATATCTTTGTCCATATAACTCCTAGAAAATACAGATTAAGATAAAAAAATGAATCTTTTTTATTCCATTTTAAAGATATGGTAGAAACAAAGCAGCCAGTTGCATATTCGTCACCTTGTACTTGACACTACAGGGTGTCAACAAATTATGGATGCAACAATATATCTCGAAAAATGATGTTTCTAAAGAAACATACTCAAAAACAAAGTTGTAAGGTTTGAAAATTATCATTTAATTGTGACCTTGAATGTTACCTAGACTATGACCTTTAGGATCCTTTAAAGGTCAAGATAGTCTCCTTAAATGAAACAATGAAAACCCCATATCTTTGACACCGCACATGTAAGGAACTGGAAATTCTACGCTCAGACAAGACCTTGTCCGTGACCTTGACTATGACCCTCGAGGTAATTAAAAGGCATCCAAAAGGTATATAGAGAACAAAATACCTAGGAAAATATGCTACGTAGAGAGAAATCTTGCAGAGCAAAGTTGCAAGGTCTAAAAAGGGAAAACCTAATAAGTGGTCTTAAATGTGACCTTGACGACGACCTTGAACGTTTTATGATGGATTTAGCGTGAAATTACTATTATGGAAGCAAGAAATCGTAGTTCATGAGACTGACTGTGACCGCAAAATCTCTTGTTTTTTATATCTTAGGCAAAATGTAAGTAGTTGACTATAAAACATATTTATCCTTCAAATGATCTTGAAGGTCATGGTAAGGTTCATTAGCAAGCATATTCTTGAGTGTAAAATTTTCTCCATTTTGCAATTTCAGGAATCACAAATAGTTGTTTCCCGTTGAAAATACATTCAAATTACTTTGGTAGTTATAGTCAAGGTCATGAACATACTTGGACATACAGTTTTCTGCTCCTTACACTTCCGGTGTGAAAAATAGGGGTTTCCATTTAAGGAAAGTTTATCTCCAAAATACATTCAAGGTGATAGTTAAGGTCACGTTCAAAATCAGTAGATCACTCTTTTCAAACCTTACAACTTCGTTTTTGAAATATTTTTCGCTAAAGCGATATAGCTTATATATTTTGATATATCCATAATTTTGGACTTCCTGTATAGTGGGGAAATAGTTTTATAGGAATGTAGGTTATTATAAATATCGAACATCTAAATATTCTTTTTTAACCTCCACAAATCACACCCTCCAGAACACTGGTGTAACTGAAGGTGATGCCTATGCCTGAAACGCTTTCCGCAGTTGTCACATCCGTACATCGGTGCTTTGTTGCACTCCAGCCTTCTGTGTCTTGTCAGATTCGTTTTGTATTTGTAGGTTTTAGAGCAAGTTTCGCAGGAGAAATTTCCAGGTCCTGAAAACGGTTATTTGTTAGTCAAATTATCGACGAAATGATGGTGTCGTTACCTATACAGGGTGTCCCGTAATAAAACGTCAATATTTTCTATGCAAATACAAAATACAGTACAAATAATAGCGTCAAAAGTTTCTTTAAAAAATATGCTCTGGTGTCCCTAAAAGTTGCTACTGGAATTCGGCTTTTCTCAAATAGCTGTTGAACGCCACTGTCAATGAATTTTTTTACACCGGGAACTTAAAGAAACTTTAGTAATACGATTTTTGAACTGCCTAAGGTTAGTACAACTAAGAAAAACCTCCTCATGCAGGTTGTTCCACAGTTTCGATACTCTAGCGACAGAGGAGCGGTCGTATCGGCCAGTACTGGATGTACGAAGTTCGACACGGATAAGATGGTAGGCCAAAGTCAGCCGCTTGGTGTAGCAGTAGAAGAGAGCTAGATCGTCGATGGCCTCCGGTGCGCAAGGGTCTCGAGACTGTCTATCAAAGAAGAGTCATCGATCAGTCGGTCAGTCCCCCTTTGAACAGCATCGAGGATGGACAATGTAGCCGGTATTCGAGTCTTGGTCTTATCTGGGCCTTGTATAGAGTGAGGAGGTCGTGCGGAGAAAAGTTGCCCTAAGCAAATAGCCTATCAGCCTAAAGTCAGAGAGGTCGCTGCTAGTTGTCTTTTCTCAGGCTCACCCGCATAGATCGGCTTGTCTCTCTGAATCACTGCATGTACAGTACTGCCATCAGCAAAGCTGTATATCGGATTGATCATACAGGAAAGGAGGTAGTTGAAATTTAAGAGGAAAAACGTTCGATCTCTGGAGAACACCCACGTTGAGAGTGCGACTATATGTTAGTTTAACACCTTGCTCCGCCTCGCAAGACTGCTCAGCCCCCAAGACACAATCGTGACAATATGCAAGAGGAACAATGTAGGAGCTAAGATCGATCTCTGGGGAACACTCGCGTTGACGTTGTAGGCTGAAGAGGAGAACCCGTCAATTACGACGGATATCTTGCGGCCAGAAAGAAATTCAGCCACCAATCTGCAAAGCTTCTCTGGAGGCCATAAGATGGAAGTTTGCATAAGAGGGCAGCATGCCACAGTTGATCGAACGCTTTTGTAATATCAAGAGCAACGACATGACCTTAACCATAAGACTGGATAAGTTTACTCCATAGTTGTGTGACGTAAGCTAGGAGGTCCCCCGTGGATGACTGGTGCCGGAAACCAAACTGCCTGTCGGTAATCAAGTTCCCGATTTATGCTCCTCTCCATAAACTCACTTTTTTTATATTCCAACTACCACGAACTCCTAAGGCCCAAACACCCATAGGGTACCGTGGGGCTATATATATAACAGGGGAAAGGGGGGGACGCCACACGGACTCTAGCGAGGGCACTCGTGTGCATGCAACATGCACACATTCTGGACCCGCCTACAAGATCCGCCGGGTGGTACCTCTGCGTTCAACAGTCAGAGACCATCTACCACCTACGGACAATCACAACATCCATATCCAAGAAAAAAATTTATCTTGGGATGGAATTCGAACCCGCACAGTGCACGGCGACTGATCAGGAGACCGAAGAGTCTGCCTACTTATAACAGAAAGCAAGCTATAGGCCTGCAGTTGTACGAGTCAGTCCTAGACTCTTTTTTGAGATTGGGGCAGGACATGAGCAAATTTACAGTTTTCTGGGAAAGTCAAGGATTCGTAAGATATTTGGAAGAGACGCGAAAGTACTGGAGCAAGCTCCTCTGCACATCTTTTCAGTTCAATGGCAGGAATGAAGTCCGGACCAGAAGCCTTGTTGATTGATTTATATAAAAATTTAACATGATATAGTTCTCTTCTTGAACAAAAGTTTTCCTGGTTCAAAGCTATCATATGATTCGTTTCTGAGGAATGGGATGCAATTTGCTGATTTGCAAAAAATGGTGAACGTGTGCCTTAAATTGATTTTTAAATTCAAGTGCAGCGTGTAACAAATTCGGGAGATCTATATAAAATATTAGCCCCATTCAAAATCCACGTGACCTTGAATTGCGCTTAGCTCATAATCAGAGACAACTAAACAATCACGACTTTTCCGTCTCCTTGTGAAGCGAGCTGTCCTCTTGAGTGGATTTTTTTGAATTCTCGAACCTCGAGCGACTCGTGCCAGATCCATTACACTGTCAAGGTATACAAAAAAGCTTGCCCTTAAATTGCCTTTATGCAGACCATGACCAAGATCAACAGACCACCTTCCAACACCTTCCTAAAAAGTTGTTTTTCAATAAAATAAATTTCAGTATAACAATTCTCCGGCACCTAATTTGCCTGTGAACTATAATCGTCTCATTCACCATTTTTCCAAATCGGACAAACCTATTTCTCCGATACTAACTTTTGTTTAGGAAAACGAGAAATATATTGTACTCAATTTTTAGACAAATCGAAAGTAAATAAATAGGCCCATTAAAAAATGATAATTAGTACAAAATGTCTCTTTTGTACACATCTGTACGTACAGGCTTTTCTAAAACAAGAATGACGAGAAAGCTGCATAGCATTCTCGAAACTAATATCGTCGTAGGCAAAACATTTATTTCATTACATTACATTTCTCATACAGTTGCGATAGGAAAACTGGACCAACTTACTAACGTAGAATGTCAATAAGAAATTATTGAACGACTCCATAAGTATAGGCACTAATAAGGCCAGGTAGTATTTTGGCGACTGTGCCTGCCACTAATCTGATGTAAAAATACATTTATTGATTCCACTGTTAGACACGGTCTTACGCGTCGCTACAAGGGAAGATGCGAATCAAAATCAAATAACCAAAACGATCCAAAACATAAACGCAACCATTAGCTTAAAAAAGTGAGGCTCATAGTGTAGGCACCAATGAGGAATGATAAAGTTAGTGCGAACGACTAATAGGGACTTTTCTGAGCCAGGTTTTATTCCTCCCTAATTAGAGGCAGGCCTATCTTCAATAGTGGCTGCTGTAATTGTGACACACACGGGCATGTGTATATGTCAACAGTGTCAAAATACTGCCTGCCACTAACAGCACAGCTTGAATAACAATCAGCTATGAAACTCTCCTATCAGTGACGGTCGCCATTTCGACAGAGAAAGTAGAATGTAAATTCCCCCAGTACAAAGATAAAAGTATTTAGTACTGAGCAGTATTATGTATTATCATTTTAAGATTGCAAAGAATATCTGCGGCCGCTGGCTGGATACGAGGCAACACCGGATGCTGCTGAGCACCATAACCTTTTTCATCGTTGCACAGGGGGAATTTACATTCGACCTTCTCTGCCAAAATGACGGCCGACTGGTATCTAAGCTGTGCTAATAGTGCGTGGCTGTATAAGCTCTTCAATAATTCCATATTATATTCGTACGAGCGGATCTTACCGTAGAGAGCAAAATAGCGGATAGATGTTACTTTTGCTTTCGAAATTTACGATACTCGTTTCCAATCCGGAACTTGGATATGGTCTAGAATCCAAGGATGCTAGATTGGATTTTATAGACCACAATGCGTTCGTACATACAACAAGTCTTAAAGACTATGACAGCACCGCACACTTCGTTTGGGAGGCTTTCAGAGTGAAAATTGATGATAAAGACCTCTGGTAGAATTAAGGAATGTGAGTGCTACTACAGTTCGATTGCATTTACCAGTGGTAGATGACATATGAAAACACAATTTGCTATGAATTGGTATATTTTCTTGTTACAATGATTAACGTATTGTATCTGAAGATAGCCAACCTGATGCTGTATTTCAGCATTCAAAAAAATTTCCGAGATCAACTGAGATACCAGGGTGTCACTCGTGAGAATACGTTGCAGCTACATATTTCTTCTTCCCGCAATAATTATTTTTTTTAAAAGGTTAGTGTTTCATAGATAACGCTGTAGCTAACTATAACGTCATATATGTTCATATATGGCCATATATGAGACGCTAGCCCCCTCAAAGTAGATTTATAATTGTAGCGGAAAGGAGAAACATTGCTGTGAAAAATTCTCCTAGATGACGCTCCGCAATGTGAAATTGTTCACTAAGTCAAATGAGGTAGTCGCTAGTACACATGTAGTGCATTTATGATACTACGAGAGTACATGTACTGAACGACAGATAGTTCCAAGATGACATTTAGTAGAAATAATAAGACACTACGAAATAAATCTAAAGTAACGTGATAAAATTCTTCCGTAGAAAATAACATCCCTGGCGGTACTTCATTTCATCACAGATACTTATTTGGGCCCTGGAATACAGCATCAGGTTGGTTATCTTCAGATGAAACACATTACTCGATGCTTATAGATACTACAGAGAAGAAATACATTTTTACAAGTTACAATTTTACATCATACATAGATTAATAGTACGTATATTATAATTTGACTACTACAACAAACAAGTAAAACACTCCAATAATAATTCAGACTAGAGTTATGGCATAAGCTATATATATATATCTTTGGTAATAATCAGAATCATATTGTACGTATGAAAAGCACTTTCAGGTACTCTTCTCCCGGAAATAATCACAAAGATTCAATAATTTGTCACGATGCTTGAAGAATGAATGTCATATTACAAAAAGTACATTATGATAAGATACCATTAAAATTTTTTTAACCTTTGGACACAGCTTTACAACTCAATCAAAACTATTTCAACTAAGGTTCTGGTTCCAAAGTACTAGAATACAGCTATATCATGGCATTAATTTTATTTTTAAATCTAGGAGACATGCAACTGCAACAGAATTCCAAATAGATTGAAAATATGACTACAATTTGGAATTCTAGAAGGTGAAATCTAAAAATTATTTTTTAATTATAAATAAAAACTTGCTGGCACATTATATAGGCAAATATACATACAATTAGAATTTTGGCTACAAAAATCTTTGGTTCTTGCACTATTAGTTGTGCTAGAGATGGGGAAAGTGACGACGTTTAAAAAATTGTGTTTTCGCTTTAGTAACCTGGAGTGAGGTTTATTTCTTCACGTTTCAAACATCTTTATAGGCAAGGAATGAAAGACATAGTCGACTAAAAGAAATAAAATCATTATTTTTACGATTCGCCCGTCTCTAACCGTTATTACGCGGAATCACAGCAGAACAACGTTGTGTCTTCGCTTCATATGCGAAGCAAGTTGGTACTTCCTTTTGCACATGAAGTAACATGCTTCCACAGGACATCTGAACGCAGGAAATTTGCCACATTCGTACCTGACGTGTCTACTTCTGGTGGTATGGTGGCTGTAAACTCTTGTGCAGTTTGGACATGGATATACCCGTTGTTTATCTAAAAGAAATATTCTGGATATTAATATTTCACAGGTTGGTTTATTTGCAGGCATTACTCACTTTGCAAAAGCCACTATAGATAAATGAAAACACGAATTCTTACATAAACATACATGAGGTTGGACACAGTACAAATTCCGCAAATTTTGCAATGTCTGCTATGGCGACACTGACTTGGTGGTAGCATCCTGGCTAAAAGATCAACCTGGAATGTAGTTTCTGGTGCTCCGGTTTACTAAACCACATAAATCACACAGCCGCGCTTTGATGAGTAGCATCAAGCCAGTGTCGCCATTTACACTTCTATGATGCCCCGGCTGTGTAACTTTCGTGACAATATATAACATTGGAAGAAAGCTAATCCTTCCCAACTTATTCCTTATATGTATAACAATCTTCAACACTGCTACTAAGCTGAATCGTTGTAAGGTTTTTCAACTCCAAACTGCAGGTCAGTATCGGCTGGCAAATTGAAAAAAAATACCTCCAGGAGATTTTTCACACTTCATTTTGTTTATTACAATACAACATCCAGTATTGAAGTCATTTCCAAATCAGATAGGAATACAAAACATCACCCTTTCATGGCAATATCTACATCATTTAGGTATATAACTTATTACAAAAAAATCATATAGGATAATCTGTACAATGTCTTATTACAGTATCATTTATATAAATAATATGACCGAACATAATATTTGAGAGTAATTTTTAAAGTAAGAACCGATTGCGCATCGTGCCCACCCATCCTGTCACGTGACGTCCGTTAAACCTCAGATACTCTTGGCCAGGCTCTCACTACGCTCTCATTACGTTTTACGTCTCTGACGTGTTGGTTACACAACCACACGGTTATACTGCTTTGTTTGTCGCCATGCCAATCGATAAGCCCGCCAATTGTGAAGTGCGCTCAGTAATTCGGGTTTTAAACGCAAAAGAGTTTGTCAAAGTTCCTCATCCTGAAATTCATCAGCGGCTTGTTGAATTAGGCGCGCTTGTCGTTCTCGGCAATTACGTTGCGACAAGAACCCAGCCCCAAGTGAACAAGTTTCTTTGGGAATTACTGGATTACACAGCCATCAGGCTATTGTCTTTTTCCAAATACTTGATGGAAAGCGCAAAATGACGTCATGTTGACAGATGTTTAGCGGTCAGGCGGCAGCGTTTTTTGACGACAAATGCTTAAATGTTTATGGCGACTATTTTGAAAAATGAAAAAAATATTCCAGTTTCTGACACAATTTACATTCATAAATAAAGTGTCCCTGACTCCATTGCAAAACAGTCCTTACTTAAAAAATACATATTGTATTATAAAAATATCTACATGCTGTTGTAAGACGCTGGAATAGAGCTGGATCGATTCTGAGCAAGTCGTTCCAAAGCAATGATACTGGAAAGGGAATTGAAGGAATCGATTTCGATAATCTCGTAGGAATCGATTCTCATGATTTAGGTTCCGTTTCCGATCATTTCGATTCCGATTCTGATGGTTTTGATTTCGATTCCTGAAACTGGACCCGATCGTTGAGATATTAGTGCTTGAAAGAGTTTTGTATTTGAATGAGCTGTGGAAAGCATCGACACTACTCAGACTCAAATATCGCTGCTACCGTACTACGGACCCACGCACCGACGCTTTTAATTATAGCGACTCACGGTAATAACTGTGATGTGAAGTTTGAGGTATCGACGGTGTTTGAACACATGTCAAGTTGCTATTTTAATGTTAAGTTTGTGAAAGAACGCGAAACCGAGAGAGTAAAAATAGTAGTAAGCAAAGTCAAAGAATATGCGAAACAAGGTTTAGCTGTATAAGTTAAACCTATTTTCGGCACTACCCCTTTTATCGGCACAAATTCTACATAATCCCGAAAAATAAGATTTCTATCGCAAGATTGTTGGATAAAACTATTTCACCAATTTCTGCGAACCTTTGTCTACGCCTCTGCACAACCGAATGACTGTCGGCCAATTTCAGTAATAACCATAGTCAAAAATATAGTGGTCAGTTCGCGCCAAACTCTTGTCTGAAGTGTTTCTTGTTGCAAGTGTTAAGAAACAGGTAAGCCATTATCGTGTTGTAATTGTTGATAGACGTTTCGTGTAAATGTTTGATTAAGTTTTATATGTTTAGGAATTATTATTTTTGTTATTTGCTAGTAAAAAACTGTTTTTATTTGGGTTTTTTTGTGTATTTTATGGGTGCCGATAATGGGTACGTAAACAATAATTGATGATCTAATCTTCGGCAGATATGCCGATAATTGGTTATACGTATTGGACTGGATTTAGGTCAATTTTAGCTTCAGCTCTTAATTTATCACGAAAAATGTTTGGTTATTATATGCAGCATACATCGATGAGATGTCACACCAATTTTCGGCACTCTATATATCTACTAGAATTAGCTTAAATTTGAGGTTTAATAAAAGTGCCGATAATATGAACATAAGGTGTCGATAATTGGAGATTCTTTTTTTCAGATTAAAATTACATCACAATGGACAAGCTTAAACGACTTCAATATTCTACCGAAGATATAAATAAAGCTGTTAACGCTGTTCAGTCAGAAATGCCATTTAAAGCAGCTAGCAAGTTATACAACGTACCCAGATCGACCCTACAGGACAAAGTAAAGGGAAGAACACTTTTAGATAAAAATGTGGACCAGGGACCATACTAACCAGGGAAGAAGAAAATTTACTGGTGGAATGGTTATTTCGGATTGCAGCATATGGATTTCCAGCAACAAAAACACAGTTGTTAGATAGTGTTCAGCTCTTGCTTAAAGAATTGGATAGGCCTAATAATTTCGCAGATGGCAGGCCTGGACGGAAATGGTACGAATTATTTATAAAAAGGCACCCAGAACTGGCTTCAAGGATTTCCCAAAACCTCACTTGTGCTAGAAACAGCCTAACAGAAAACCGCATTCGTCAGTGGTTTATAGAAGTAGGGACCTTCTTAGAAAACACAAATAATCTTAACAACTTTTGATTCCGGTCGTGTATTCAATTGTGATGAAACGGCTTTTTTCCTCACACCCAAAGGAGACAAAGTTTTAGTTAAAAAGTGGGATAGAACAGTTTACTCATTTGTGAGCAATAATGAGAAGGAATGTCTGACGACTTTGGTTACGTGTAGTGCCTCCGGTCAAATTTTACCGCCAATGATCGTTTATAATTACAAAAGAATTCCCAACTCCGTTGTCGAAAAAGTTCCAGGAAACTGGGGTACGGAAAGTCTGAAAATGGGTGGATGACTGGTGAAACCTTTTTCGAGTACATCGCTAATATATTTCACCCTTGGTTAGTTGCTCAAAAAGTTCAGTTTCCGGTTATATTGTTTTTGGATGGACATACATCCCACCTAACTATGGCCCTCAGTAAATTTTGTAGTAAAAATGATATTATCCTTATAGCTCTTTGCCCAAATGCTACACATATTTTACAACCTCTAGATGTGGCCGTATTTCGACCATTAAAGCTTGGATGGAAAAAAAGCGTGCACCGATGGAGAATGGAGAACCAAGGGCAGAAGATTACCAAAGACTTCTTTGCGCCCATCTTGGAATGCACTTTTCAAAAAATGACAAATATTCCCGATATACGAGTAATTAAGAATGGCTTCAGGACCTTCAATGTTGATAATATAAAATTTTCAAAATATTTTAAAACGGAAATCGCAGCACAAAAACAACAAGAGAACCATGAACAGCCTAAAGAAGCACAAGCAGTCCTAAGATGTGTAGAGCAATACATCTCAAAAGAGACTCTTAGATAATTTCTGCTTTCCGGTCCACTTTGGGAAGGCCCAGTAGAGCACACTAGCCTGTTTTCACTCTGGAAGAAAATGAAGATCAAAACAGTGAATAGCAACAACAATGCAATAGAGGTTTCTGATCTAGTAGAAAGTGAAAATGAAATTCAAGAAGACTTTATTATGGAAGATACATTTACAGACGTAGAAATTCACAATGAAATAGATGCCACAGAAATCAATGAAAATAATAAATTGATAAATCATCAATTAGAAGTAGATATTGAATTTCAGGCAGGCTCAAATGTCAAAGGCGCATTTGCTGAGAAGGCAAACAATAACAATGAAATTGATGTTACAGGAATTATTGACTGTACAAATTTATCCCTTTCGATAGGCATTGCTGAAGATATTCCTATAATAATTTCAAATACACCCAGCAAAGCACAACATGATGTACCTGTAGAAAACTCTTTAGAGCAGCATTCCTCACTTTTGGAACTAAACTTTCAACAAATGGGAACTACTCAAATTAAAACGACACCGACACCTAAAATTGAATCGGATTCTACAGGCGAACCAAATTCGAATTCAGAAAAAGAGTTGTCGCCTTTACAACAAAATGTTTTAGATGAATCTATTCCGACTCCATTCAAACAAACTTTATTTTGGCCTACACCTAAGGAAAATATTGCTAAGCACAAACTAATGAAGAATAAAGTACCTGCTGTAGCAACTTCATCTCAGTGGCAACAATACTATCAAAAAAAAAGAAGAAAAGAAAAAACAAGAAGAACAACTGAAAATAGAAAGAAAGAACAAACGTGACCAAAATAAAGAATTGGAAAACAAAAAGAAGAAATTGAAAATTACTGCTGCACAAAACGTTTCTAAAAGGAGAAATTCTAATCGCAGGGCGACAACTAAATTAAAGAATGTTACTAAAAAATTATTTTCCACAAATGCAGGCAATGGACCTGTAACTACTGAACCTTCAACATCAAAACCTTCAGAGGAATCTTGGTATTGCTTATTGTGCGAGACTGACGATCAGCTGGACATGCGCCTTTGTTATTCCTGTCTAAAATACTACCATGAGTTTTGTCTTGGTTTAACAGAAGCTGATACAGAAGAATTTCAATGTCCTTTTTGTCAGTGACCAACAGATTAATAACGATTAATTTCACGTTTAGTTTTTAGAAAGTACATTTTTATTATTTCAATATAAGTTTAAAATTTTGAAATTAATGTTAACATATTTTATTAGTGACTACTTAGATATTTACTTAGTTAATATATTTTGGGTTACTTATCCAACATTGTGACAACAATAGGATCTTATATGTGCCGAAAACTGGAACACGTCTATTTTTTAGGATGCCGATAATGCGGCCATAGCACACTTCTTATTTAATTAGTTTTGTAAATATGATGTGTTTTCTTTAGGTCAAAATAAATATTACTATGTGATATGATAACTCTTTTATTAGCCAAATTGACAATTAGAATATAAGATGATATAGGTATTTTATTTATTAAATATATTAGAATGATGCCCAGAGTATGTAAGGTGCTAAAGGTGACGATAATTGGAACGTTTACCTTTGATGAAATCAGTTGATACCCCTTAACACCCCTTCCAACCCGTTTCAAGCTACAATCAACGAAACCGTCCCACGACAGAATATACTCATAGCCTACAGGCGCTAAATAGTAGATCGTCATTTATTTGGAGTCTTTAAAATTAAAAGCAATATCCGAATCCTAATCCGATGGACTTTCGTAAGTGCTAGTAACGCTCATAGACACAGGTGTTTTGGAATTGCGGAAATCAAAGTCGAAAGGAATCGGAATTGAATGGAATCGTGAAAGAATCGGTTCTGAGACCGGAATCTAAACCATGAAATCGAATCACTGAAAGGAACGATTTTGCCCAGCTCTACGTTAGAGTGACAGGCGTTAACTTGGATTCAGGCTTCTCAAAATTCAGGAATATGTCTTTAGTAAAAGTTAACTGATTTTCAGTAAAAATCATCTTTTATGGTTTTCACTTTAGATATTATTTTAATCCCTAAAGATGGACTGGTTTGGAGTACCAATTTTATTTTCACCAAGGTCACCCGAACCTAAAATCCGTTATACTTTTTTTACCCACCCCATCAGAAATTGCACAAGAGAATCACTATACATACGTATGTTACTTCAATAGTATCTAGGAGACGATCGAAAAGGAGGATTTTGAATGTCCAATTAATGTAGACTAAGTGACATATAAATCCGAACACCCAGTTTAAATGGTTTTATTTAAATAAAATTTTGTATAAGTACTTAATGAAGCATAATAAGTAAATGATAAAAATTTCAAAATGATTGCACTGCTTTAAAGCCCTTTGACCTTTAATAATGTGTGGATGCACCCTGATGTGCTACGCATTCTCCAACGCGCCTAGGCATGCTTCTGATCAGGTGGTCAATGTCCTTCTGTGGTATCTCATTCCAGGCAACCACCAACTCCTCTCGAAGTGCTTCTAGAGTCTGAGGAGGACGTTACAAATTGAGCAATCTCCTACCCATCATATCCCACACGTGCTCAATTGGGGATAAGTCGGAAGATCTTGGTGGCCATGGTAACAATGTGACATCATTATGTTGAAAGAAGTCTATTGTGACTCTTGCAACATGCGGTCGGGCATTATGTTGTTGGAAAGTTGGATCTGCCAGGGTGTCAAGATAGGGTAAAAGATGGGGTTCTAGAACTTCGTGGATATAACGCGGCGCGTTCATGTTACCTCTGATGAAGATTAAAGGTGACCTGGAACCATAAGCTATAGCACCCAAACCATAACTCCAACAGTGTGATGAACATGTCTTTCAACAAAAAACTGTGGATTCCTCCTTTCACCACGTCGCCTTCTAACCCTGGCACGACCATCGTGCATGCCTAAACAAAATCGAGACTCGTCACTAAAGACAATACTGTTCCATTCCTGATCCCAGAGTGACCGTTGTCTGCACCACTCAAGGCGATTACGTCGGTGTTCTCGAGTTAAAGGGAGGACCCAGTGTGGCCGGTATGAAAACAAGCCAAAACTTCTCATTCGTCGGTAAACACTTCGCATGCCAATAGGTCTTCCGTGTTCTGCAAACCATTCATTTGCAATGGACCTGGTAGTGGAGAAACGGTCCCTTAAGGCCAATAATCTTAGGCGGCGATCTTCACGGTCTGTTGTTCTACGGCGGCGTCCAGTGCCCTTTGCTCTTTGCGTACGGCCTTCTCGAAGCCATGCCTGACAACACCTAACTACAGTGTCTACACTTCTTTGCACTCTAACTGCAATTGCCCGAAAAGCAAGTCCAACTTCCCGAAGTCCCACTATACGGCCCCTATCAAACTCACTAAGTTGACGAAATCGTACAGGTCTCCGTACTCTAGGCATCGTAACCGATCGTAAAGGATGTCAAGAACCAAAATCCGCCAACGTTGATTCTTTACTGCGGCTGAAATATTCAATTTTAGACCGTTAGTGAATTAAAAAAAGCAGTATAAAAACCGGAATGTCCAACTGATAAGGCTGAAAATTTTTTCACTTGTTATTTACAGTAAGATAAATACATTCACCAACTTTTATTAAAATAAAACCATTTAAACTGGGTGTTCGGATTTATATGTCACTTAGTATATTAGGGCTAAAAGCTAACGTAATTCATTATGGATTGTCTCTCTAGTTTCCGGCAACTAGTCAATTCAGGTGGCTGAAGCAACTGGCCAGGATATCTTAGAAACAAAAATTTTATATTACTCTACAACCAGCAAACACTGTCCTATATATTCTGATAAGTTTGGACTCAAGCTAACCGATATGTCACTCTGGAGTGTTGCCACGGGACTCCTGGACAACAGATAATAACAGGTGAGGGTGTTAGGACATTATATGGTACACAATTTCCTTCTGTTAGTACTTATATAAGTATCAGCTAAAGATTTCATTCAGTATGGTGGTGGCTGGTGATGAGTTAAAACATGTCTTTTTAGGTTGTAATTCCTATTTGTAGTATAGCTGCAGTATCCACAACGTTTCCGTTTTCCGTCAGCTAAAATGGTAGTTTTCATACACAACTATATTTAATTTTATCAACGACACGTATTTTTGACATTATACAACAGGTAATACCGACACCAAAAACAACAACCAAAGATACGACTTTTATCAAATTTTCAGCAATTCCTTTAAAACGAGTTAGCATTAGTGAAGGTACATTTTAACTATAACCTAAGTCTCATCAGAATAGATGTGAAGATCGAGCTTGTCGTTGGTTTTACGTACAATGGGGGAAAACCGGGACACTGGCCTATTCTCCATAGCTTCAAGTGGAATTAAACGTATTGTCAAGATTTATGTGGATAGCCACGTAGTTGACAGTTTTATTGGACATGACACTTGGCTAATGTCTCCAGAGTAGACTGAGAGATATTATTCTAGGTGTCGGGAAATTTTACCCTGAGTTGTTTTGAGTGATAATTATACAAATATCCTTAGAACCAACACCCTTTATTAGAAAATACAAGTATGTTAGACAGGAAAACCAGTATACAAATTGGCAAAGTTCATAGACATTTTCCTAATAGACCCTTTGCCAACATCATCCATCACATTCCTTATTGTAACTACATCAATTTTGTTTTTGTTTCTGCTGTTCTGTTTGTGTTTGTACTTAAAAGGCATTTTCATTGCTTGTTCTGAAAAATAAAATAAATAATATTTCGATGTACTTCCTATAAAAAAAAGTTACTCATCAAATAATAAAGGTTCAACGATGAAATTCTTTGAAAGACCACTTTAGATCTTATTTGAATTGTTTTTGAGAAACTCAGTTTTGTTTCGGTATAGTTGTATCAATTTTGGTACCGGATAAAGTATACTGGTTCCGCTATTTTGAAAATACAGTCATTCTGATAAATTCATGACTAGAGACCCAAAAAACCAAAAATACACATTTTCAGATCACTCAGCCCACTTTTAGACTTTTGCCAAACATTTTAACAAAATCAAACATTATGCATTTTTGAGCTAAAGGCCTCTAAAAATATTATTCTGAACCACTATTATAGAGGGTGTATCTTCATATGCGGTCACTGGTCACTTCGCCATCAAAATTTCGTTAAATCATTCAAAGACGTTATAAGAATGGCGTTATACGGAAACGGAAAAATATCCCCGGATAGTCTCGTGCTGCTACGTGGGCAGAGTTACCCCCGCCATTTTGAGTTTGTTGACAGTTTTTTTGCTGTATCAGTACTAAACACTCTAAGCAGCAGTAACAATACTTTTAATATATTGTCTTGAATTTAGTGAGACCTAGTCGTACTAAACAAATATAAATGAAGCGATTATTGAAAAACTTGTTTTGATACAAATTGGCAAACGTATTTAAAAACAGAAAAAAATGTGGAAGAAAATTGATTATTTTGTGCATTTCCGCACACCATTCAAAAACTAGCCTGTGAAGTTGTACCTTTTTTGTGGTGCTAATTTTACAGCTTTTTGTTATACTAAGTATTCTACGTTAAGCAATAAATGCTATCTAACATGGCTGTAAGAAAATGCAAATTGTTTTCAAACTTTATATGCCTAGAAATGACAAATCAATGTTTCTTATAGAGAGTTTGGACATGTTTAATGTTACAGAAGTTGTTCAAAATGTCTTCCATTATTGGTTATGTACATTGTTGTTCTTAAAACAATGTGTCGTGTAGAGCGGCAGACTATATCCGTGTCAGCCCTAATTTGAGGTATGACATTGTAGGGGGTGGATTTGTCGATAAAAATAGCTGAAAAATATCCCCCTCAAATATCGGTATGTCGTGACCAAACACATTGTATATATATATATAAGTTATGATATAAGGATACAAAATATAAGATGATTTTATTTATTTATGGCTTGTTCCGAAGCAGTCAAGGCAAAAGTGGGGATTTCCTTCACAACTGTCACAATATGTAGTCACTTTTGGAATTTTATTTTTTGGTATTTCACCCCTTATTTTTTTATTATAGCATCCTTTACAATACCGTCTGACTTCATGTGATTTTCCTTCTTTTTTTTTCAGTACATGCCGTTCCCTTCTTGTGTCTGCTTTTGACGTAGACGGTAGATTAGACACATTATTTGTTGGAAACATGAGGCTCTCTGCAATACTTTCTTTGAAATCTGTAATAGAAATTGGCCGGTTATTTATGGCTTTATAAAGGAAACGTGCATTTACCAGAGTAGTCCCAAATAGCAATTCTTTCGCGATTTTTCTATACCATTTCACTGTTTTACGAAGTGCACTATGATAACTAGCCATTTGATCAGATAAGTCAACTGAACTTTTTGCTTTGTTGTACACCAAGACTACCACAGGTGTTACAACATCTCCAGTTCGGTTGTGTACTATTACAGTTTCATGTGTATGCTTAGTGGACAACATGAACACATGCCTCTTGTCTTTCCACTTTATAATACATAAACCTCGTTGGTTTTCCTTGGCAACAATCTCTGCAGTCTTGAGTTTCATATTAGTTACTTCCTTAGGGTTCCTTCTGCGATTTGCTCGCAGAGTTCCTACTAAATGCGTTTTTTTATCTAGCAATTTGTTAGCCAGCTCCAAACTGGTGTAATCATTGTCAGTGATGACGGTACGCCCCGAATCAAGATGTTTCTCTGATAAATGCATAACTATG